TTTGATGAGTAGTATCAATAATTCACATGGAAACAAAATATAGAAAAAATATATATAATAATATATTTGTATCAAATATTCAGAAATTGAAAGGCCACTCATTTTTTATTAATATTGACATTCTAAACATGATAATTTCAATTTAATATTTTTATATTGTATATTTAGAATGTTCAAAATAAAAATTTGAAAATAAAAGTTAAAATCAAGAGGGCCTACAGAAATGTATTAATGTAGAAGTATGTGACAAAACACAGTTATTAGATTACAAGACGAATTATCACTATCTTCCATTTCTATCTAGATGTAATGCATCAGAATGGCAACAAGTGTGCAAGCTATTTTTTAAAAAGTTTCGAAGATTGATACATGATTCTCATATAGTTAGAATTCAGTTAGAAATAATCGCGCGATTTTTAAACATCCTATTAAAAATATTGAACTGAATCTGACACAGAGTATTTTGATCATATTTTAAATTCGAATCAAATAAATAAATTATCATACAAAATTAAACAATTTATTATAATATTAAATTTGTGAAAAGAAAGAGAGATCTTGCACCTTGTTAATATTCTTATGCAAATAGAAAAATTGTTTTTATTATTTTATCGAAACTAATTAATGATAGTGATAATGGATCAAATAATTAATTTTATCACAGAAATTTTTAGAAGTTTTATTTATGTATATAAATCAAATAGGTCACAACTTCGCTTTTGTCTACTAATCATTTTAAAGCAGTCACACAAGTTATGCAACTATGCGGATTCATATGGTATTAGATTGCATACTATATCCAATAAGAATAATGTAACTAATTATTGTTTGTAATATTTTGCTGTATTATCAAAATCCTACTTTTGAAATTAAACAAACTGCTGAAGCTAAATCAAAATAATTTTAATGAATTATTAAAAATCACAATATGCAGCAAAATGTTACAACAATATTAGATTTTTTTTTAAAAAAAGAAAAAGGGTTGATGTCAATTTTTTTATTCATATTATCATCAGAATTGTTATCTAATTACTATATTGCAGACATACTACAAAATTTTATACTTTTACTTTTTCATATTTTGCAAATTTTCAAATTTTTCTCTCTTTTGCTATAATCAATTGTACCATAGATTACTATTTTTCATTTATCGAGGACGATAAATTGTTTTAGAGGGGAGGAATCCCAAATAAATTGTAATTTCTTTGTTTTTTTTTCTTTTCAATTGTTAGAGGACTAACAATATTCTTTAGGGGTGGCGTGTTCTGTAATAACACGATCATACGTGCTTTTGATCAAAATATGAATTCATTGTTCAATGTTGATCAAAGTCCAAGATCTTTACATGAACGCGGAAGACGCCATTCCTAGAATTGACACGTACAATGCATAATATATAGAGTCAGAAATCAAGAGTCAAAAATCAGAAGTCAGAAATCAGAAGTCAGAAATCAGAGTCAGAAATCAGAAGTCAGAAATCAGGAGTCAATTCAGGCTTACTGTTTACATACTTAAAAAATGTAGTCTCTGATCATCGATAACCAAGAGGTTATCGAACAAATTATTTAATTGTAAAAAATGGTAAACAATAAAATATCAAGATCAACCAAGAACCAGTGTTTTATCTTATCAACCGCTCTGCTACAGCAACCAAATAACCTCCCATAATCACAGGAGTAATCCAACAACCACACAATTACAGTTCAATATATATATATATATATATATATATATATATATATATATATATACTAGCTGACCCGACAGACGTTGTTCTGTATCCACGTCTACAATTTTTCAATATTTTATACTAATATTTACTCCTTAGTTAAAAATAATAATTACTGTTTTTTGAATTACTATTTACACCAATATATGAGTGATGTTGAATGTAGAACTGTTTCAAATAAAATGATTGTTCTCAATTCCCACAGTTAACACTTTAATTATTCATTTAACAAATATTAAAAAATGTTCAATAAAATTGTATATTAAAAATTATACACTGCAATTTATAGAACAAATTTATTTCCAATAGCTCAATTTATTTTATTGCATTTAAGGGTTATATTACGATCAACAAAATTATTGCTCTGTGAATTTTTTTACTGTGCTCCAATTTACTTGATATTTTGGAAATAGGCTAATCTTTATCTTAAGTTCAGAAGTGAAAACAATTTGCACTCCGTCACCATCCACCGCCATAATTGGATTATTACCCTTTTAATTCTGTTTGTATCAGAACTTGTAATACACTATTTTAAAGGTGATTAAATGAGCTACAACTTTCTCTATCATAAATTTTACCGTAACTTCTCTTATCGTGAAACGGCGAAGGGTTAAAGGGCTCGAAAGACCTCTTGTTGGACAGCCGCGCACTCTTTAATTAATATCTCTATCAATATTTGTGTAATGGAAAAATAATAAACAACAATAATTAGTCAGAAAAATACCTCGAATTTTCATATATATATATATATATATATATATATATATATATATATATACTTTTATACGTATTCTTTCAGAGATATTATAATGAGAAATTGGATGTTTTTTAATGTTTTTTTTTCATGAAATCATGAGTTTTTTGAAAATCGTTTGTACTAAAGTTGTGGTATTTTCTAGAATCCATCAAGATCTCTTAAACCAAGTTAATTCTAGATGGAATACGATTATTTTTAAATTTGGTGGAAATGGCACTGAAAAACTATTTGATTTAAATGAAAAAACATGATATGCGTCTTTTATTTGCAAGATAGCTTACTCATTTTACACGCAGAAGTACTCATTTTAAAGCTTATTTTGAGCACTATAAAAACCCATTTTCATATCTAGCCTAATAATGTTCCTAAAACACTGTAAAATAGCGATTTATTAAGATTTTAATTGATATAATTTTGTTCATTACATGATTTTCGTTAAAATGTATATTTTTTGAAGATATTAGCAAAAAATGATGAAAAACGCAAAAAAGATACAAATTTTCAGTAGCCAGTAACTTGAAAAGTATTTGCTTTTTTGAAAAATATTATTAAACATTTTTCTCTTATAACTAGTTCTTTTATCGATACCCAACGTTATTTTGAAAAAAGTAAAATTACACCACTGAAAAGAAATGTCATCCCCCAAATGTCATACTTCTGAACTTAAGAGTAAGATGAGCTTAATTCCAAAATTCAAACGAAATGGAAAACAGTAAAAAAAGTTCGGACCGAAAGAGCTCCATTGAGTAAATATTCCGTACCCAATGACAAACATATGAATTTTTGACACAATGAAACTTCTAAATATTTTTTTTTGTATTGTGACTTAGTATAGTAAGGCAAAACGACTGCAAATTGAATATTTTTGAGCGCAATCACTTATGGCTCGTCACTTTGCACGAATTCGTACGGCGAATCTGTTCGCAAAGTACGCAAACAAAATTATTGCAAGCAAAAGCAAACCACGAACCACGCGTACGTTGAGAACACGATTCGCCGTGCGCGTCAGACGCATGTTATATTATTTGCATCTTATATTAATTTAATTTTTGGCACATCTAAACTGCTTTTCGGCATTAATAATGTAGACATTACATTTTCCTTATTTATAATCATGAATTTATTATATTTTAATATTGCCTTAGCCTATAAGTGAATAGAAATGTTTGGCAAATGGTAGTCTTCAATTGTTTTTAATGTCAAACTAAGCTTCAAATATTTTCAAGGGCAAACAATGATAAGCGGTTTTTTGTAATTTTTTCTATTTATTTCTACAATCTAACTATATTTCTATGAATCAAAACATTCTAGAAAATTTCCCGAACAAATTTCAGGAAGATTCATGAAAATCCGAATTATGGTTTAGGAGGATTAATGGAACTTACGTTGTTACAGAAGAATTTTATATATAAGATATATATATATATATATATATATATATATATATATATATATATATATACGAGTATATATATATATATAAATCTCGTATCACGATGTTGGTTCGCGATGGACGCCCAAACTACTGAACCGATTTTAAATTTTATTGGCTCATCGTGTGCATATATATCCAACTCAGATTATAGGAAGTAAATTTTAAATATAAATATATAATCTTTATAAATTTCTAAAAATTTTGACAGAAAATGACAAAAAAAAAACAAAACACTAAAATGACAAATGTCAAAATTTAAGGAAATTTCGATATATAATTTTTGAAAAAAAATTTGACATTTTAAAAAATAAAATTCAAAAACATGTACATATATAGAAATATCCAACATTTAAATCCAAATTTGATGAAATGCTATGTTCAAATTCACTGTTTATAGTTTTAAATCTAATTAAAAATCAATGCTTAAAAATTTGAATAAATGTTGACATGCAAAAAAATTAAATGTCATTTGCCAGTATTTATGAAAATAATTATATAAATAGATTTACGATTTAGATTTAATTGATTAGCTTACCAAATTATTTCGGAAACCAAAACTTCATCAAAACATTATAGATCAGAGATCACAATAAAAAAGCGGCATATTGAATTTAAAATTAATCATAAACAAAATTTTGACATTTCACAAAAAAATGTTTAACGACTTACTTCAATAAGAAGCAAGTAAATTAATTATTCCAGGTTATCCCAGACAACACAAGACATCCTGGAAAACGTCCACAGGATATCCACGCGCGGACATTCATTGTCCCTGCGATAGCCTTACGGATATCCCGCGTATCCTCATCTTATCCGAAACATGTTAATATGTCGCACCTATGGGACGTTCTGTAGGATATCCCGCGCGGGATATTCCGGACATAAACCGGACATGAATAGGATATAATTATGGAATTGTTTTTTACTTTTTAGATAATAATTATAATTAAATGAATTAAAAGAACACAATTTCACAAAGTAAACTTTTATTACAAAATAACAAAATCCTGAGATAATTTTATAACAAAATTTAATATATACAACTTTAATTCAAAATAACTTATTTTACAATATTAAAAATATAATTAATTCGGCATTCAATCCTAGTTCATGGTTGATTTTCTCTCCTGAAATAGAAAACAAATGAATAAATGCATATATATGTATATATATATGAGTAAGTTCTTTAAGAGCGATACATCAATCAAAATAGACAGAGATTTATAAAATAATCTCTAATTCCAAATATATCGACACAATTTGATGTCATTACGAGTGAATATTAAACTTGGTTTTTTACATCTAAAAATGTGTACACAGCACAAATTTTGCACTAACATTGATACAACTAACCAGTCAATAATCATGATTTTTTTGTCAATAGGAAAAACATATAGTACACATCTCACAAAAATACCTTGTATAATATTTATTGGCACGTCGCAGCCAGCTTTTTGCAGCCTCTGAAACAGTAAACTATGACTCATGCGGCAAATTTTTCAAAGCAATTCCTGGAATTAATTATATATTAGTTTAATTCATAATTTACAACACATCATAAGTATAAGATATATAAATTACCTGTGATGACATCGCAAGGCACTAGATCACAAAATTTATTTTTGCCCTTTCCTCGTCCCTAGCAAAATTCTTTGTCCAAACCATCATCAAAAATGGATTTTCATAGCTCGACTCTGATGACTAAATACAGAATATAAAGAGAAAGTTTGTTTAGTATATGATAAAGTTAACAAATAAAAATAAATCTATATAAACTTTTGATTACCAATTGTATTTTGATATCTTTGCTCAGAAGAATAGCCTCCATAAGTTGAAGCTCCTCCAACAAACATAGTGGAGAGCATTTCTTCTTTGTTAATTCTCTTTCAAACACAGCATTTGATACAAAATTAGGCATGGCTGCTGGATAAGCTGGCAGGGTAGAAATGTCAGCATTAAATTAAAAATTCTATTTGTACTAGTAACATAGTATTTCAAATAACAGTACACAGAAAGCTTTAATTACCATCGTTTATATCTGCCCCCCTTTCAATATGTTGCTGCAATATTTATAACACACACGCACATATAATTATATAGAACACATAAAATTTCCACTATTATTACTTAATTTTAGAGTATTTTGATAAATAATATTAATTATTTATAACACACGCTCATATAATTATATAAAACAAATAAAATTTTCACTATTATTACTCAATTACTCAAAAACTATGATGATTCCACATACTCGTATAGCGTCTGTTTGATGACGCTTAGCTTAACCTTAAAGGACGCAAAACCAACGCGACGAAAGAGAAAGGGACAAACATATACGTTTAGAGGATTAGAGGTCTCAAGCCGTGCGCGTACGAGAGCGACATGTTCGGGAACCCGTGCGTTATACCTGCTCGAGTCCTTTGGTTTTGAGACGTCCCATTGCATATTCATAGGATATTCATAGGATATCGCGATATTAGGAGATTGTGAGGACAAGTGGGACATTCCCTGGCATGTCTTGTGCTGTCTGGGATGTTATAGGCAATATTGCCAAGCAAATTATAGATACAAAACATTATTGTAAAATAAATATTATCATATTATATTAATTTTGGACCAAGAAGGAAATATTTTGACATTTATAAATTTAGTGCATATTGGATATATGAAATTGACATTCACTATTTTTCAATTAAATGCAAATGTAAAAAATCAAATATTTATATAAAAAAAATGTATATTTAGATAAAGATACTGCGTTGATTCAGACTAAAATTTAATTTATTCTCTAATTTAAAAAAAATTGACAAACAAAATTAAAATAAACAAAACACTATGATGCGTTGGAATTATATGAATCTCATATAAGTCATCAAAATTACGTCAGATATATTTAAAATCTAGAGGTTTTCACTACCCTTACGAGTATTCGGGTTTTTCCTACTCTGATTAATTAATTATTTGTCAGATACCTATTGTTACATTGAACAATTTAATATTTTGCTATCTGAAATGAAGGATTGGCACTATCGCCTGAAAAGTGGCACAATGGCTACACTAAATCCTTTAGGCATTTCGCCCTAATACTGGCATTTAAAGCCACAATAAAAATCACGACGTTATAAAAAGATTTACAGAAGTGAATTGGAAACTCAAAGTTATTAACTAGAGTCACTCACTTTTCAATATTACTTTCTGAGTCTTTTATATTATTACTTGATGACTTTGTTACTAATCTTTACAATTATTTTACTTTGACACATTTATAAACATATGAAATTTGGACCTGGCAATGCTCGTAATCGTTTTTGATAAAAAAATGTTTAGCTAACAATATTTGCTTGAACTTAACCTTGACGGATATGTGAAGTCAACAAAATAATAGTGGTGTAAATAATAATCGAACTGCCCATTGTTACGGAAATGTTACCCAAGTATAACCAAAATTTTAATACTTAAAAAAAATATTCAAATTGACAAAATATTATTATTTATATTCTAATTGACAAACAAAATCTTAAAAAAAAATGACGACTATGATGTTCTGATCTGGATGTGTAGTTGTTGCCAAAAGAAGGATTGGTTTTTCTTACTTGGGGAGTGAGCCTTAATCGGGAAGTCTGCGTCGATTTGCGTTGATCTGTCTGCGTAGTTCTTACGATGTTTATCTTGGTAAAGCTGCCACCTTTAATGCCTTTAGTTCCTCGTGCTAGTCCTTATCTTGCTGCTTGCTGGATGCTCCGCTTACTTTGCTGAGTCTGCAGCCTCTGGGTGCAAAGAAAACTTGATCCAGGCTTCACTTATCACAATTCACAAAATTAACACTTCACTATAAGGAAATCCCACCGCTGCCAAACGTGATATGACATATGTTGTTAGGGGGTATTGGTATGGGTTGCGTTCCAATGTCGGGTTGATCCACACTCCAGATTAGTGGTAACTACAGGTAGATCCTTGATCCAATTGAGTAAAAAATCCGTCCAACCCTTTCTTGATGCCTTTGGTCGAGCAGTAGGAGTAAGTTTGAGTTACTGGTTTGTTAAATAGGTCTCTACGGAATCGTGAGCATTCTATCTGTTTTATTACTGACACCTACACAGGTTTTACATTTTTCTCTTCGAGATGTAAAACATTTACATGTTGTGCACTTTTTAATTATATTACTACTTCTATTATTTATAGGCCAATACTTCTTTCATATATTCATCAGTATGGCTTGAATGTCAGCATGCAATATTCCAATGTGCTTCTGTTGTAACGTCAAGTGTCTCATATGATGTCTATTCAGAATTATCCGATGTTTCTGTACATATGATATCAGTGATTGGCCTAGTCTTCCACCTACTCGTAAAAGTCCTCCCGCATCAATAAAGAGATTTAAGGGAGAGACTATTTTAACTTTCAAATCTTCAAAGTCAAGTGATGATCCTTGCTCATTGTTCGAAGTTCTTTTGGTTTCTTCATCTTTATCCATTTTTATTTGTCTGTACATCTTTACAATATCGCTTATAAAAACGTGCTTCCAACAGCAAAATCTGATTAAAATAGATATTAGTTCTTGCTGCAATTTTGATCCAGTATGCAGTGTATCATTCAGCACAACCCCAGTTGAACTTTTTGCAGCAGCATCAAAAACAATTCGCAACTTCGTTGAGCCCCATTGCTTGATAACTGGGTGGTGTGGTAAATAATAATGTGGATGATTAAGTTCTGCTATTGGTACTGGTACTGCAGGTCCTAATTCTAAATATTCGTTCATAAATTCTGAATAGGCTATTTTTAGGTCTTCATTTCTTTTAAACCGCTTTTCTAAGTTTATAAGGCGAGATGTTGCAATCTTCTCTGACCCATGGATTGTTGGTTCTAACACTTCTTCCAAATGCCAGAACTTGGTGATGGCTTCATGCATTTGTACGTTTGATAGGAATCCAATACAATTTGAATTTGTTTGCTGCTTGTATGCACCAGATAGTACCCATCCAAACAAGCTGTTTCTTAAAATTGGTAAGTTGTGTCTTACATTCAATCTAATTACATTTTTCTGCAAAATTTTGAAGAATAGTTCGACTCCAATTAACATTTGAATTGGACCAGGACTTGCAAACATTGTGCCACCTAAAAGCACTCCTTTAGGAATTTTCCAGTTTTCAATATTGATTTTTGATGTCGGTAGATCACTTGTTATGTTGCCCATTACTATGCAGTTGATCCTTCTTGAAAATGCAGAGATATTGGATTTAATTTCTACTGCCATAGTGTTATAACTAGTCAATAATCCTCCTTGTAATACCTTCAATGTATTTACATAACCATTCAGAGGGAGAACTAATTTGTGCGCTAGATCCCTCGTTATTAAATTCACTTGTGATTCGCTGTCTAGCAGAACCCATACAATATGTGGTCTATTTTGTGCATTCATAATAGTAATTGCAATTGTAGCTAGCAGTACATTAGTTGTGTTGTCTTGCTGCGAAAACATAACATTTGCAGTGCTTTTCTTGTCCGGAGTCTCGGCTGTTTGTTCCACGTGTAATGATGTATGGTGATCCCTGTCACAAATTTTGCAAAGTAATTTATATTTACATGGCTTCAACGGATGTGCTGGTTCCAGTTCACAATAATTTGAGCTCTTCAGGAAGTCGTTTTTCTTTGCTAAGCTGTTCTTCTTAAATTTAAAACATAAATATAAAAAATATGATTTTGATGACAAAAGACGTATATTTTTTGATTTGCTGGGTATTTGAGTGACAACATTAATAATTTTGTTCTTGCTTCCAGTTCTTTTAGTGTTACTCGATTTAGCTGCAGTTTTCAAAGCACTTGCCCGGTGCTCTAAAAAGGTGTAGAATTGGAATAGTGATGGCGGTTCACCCATTTCTCCAGCTAAACCCTAATCTTGTTCCGTAATCCAATTTGGTTTTAATTTGACTCTGTTCAAATTCTTTTGCATACTGAAGTAAAACATTATATAAATATTTTCCAATTTTTTCCTTATTCAGCGTACCAATTTCGGTATCATTACAATAATCATACATCTTTTCAATTCTAGATTCAAGAACGGATGACTGCTCGTTTCTTCTCATAAAACTGCTGCTCATTAAATATCCTACTTCATCTTCAAATGAAATATTACTACTGTTAAAAGATTCCACCTTATCTTCCAGTTCATCTTCATATTCAGATTCATAAAATTCACAATCAGAACATTCAAAATCTGTGTCATCGAATATACTCTCTGGATCTGAATAATCAAAATCATCATCTAATCTTGTAACGATGTCTGGGTCTAAGTCAGGCCTACGTCCTAAGTGCAGTGTTGCTTTGGTCCCTAAATGTTCCTCTGTGTTAGTCAAAACATCAAAATGCAAATTGAACAATATTTCGAACTCTTAGGCATGTTGCCCTGGTTGTAGCAAACTTAATTTTCTATTAGTTTTCTCCAGCTGTTTGAAATTTTTTATTAGCTTTTCTTTGCGATAAATTAGCCCTAGAATACTATCGCCGGATTTGAAATTTATTATATATTTTTGGATAATAATCATTTTAGATTTTATTTCCGCCCTTTGATTAATCAAAGCTGCGACTTCCATCTTGTTAAATATATTTGTTTTGTGTTATTTTTAATGGCCGTCAATAAACTGACCCAAAATATCACTTTTTCGTATGAAATATAATGCAAGAGTCTTCGTCGAATATTTTCAATTGGTTGCTATTAAAACTAACCAAATAAATATCACCTTGAATGTACTCTGTTGATTGATTCTGTGCTATATACCCGAAATATGACCGCGTGTTATGGATGCTATATAACCCGAATATTATTTTACCTATCCCCTAGGCTATTATTAAACATACATAAGTTTTAAAAACACTCAAGATGGTTTATAAATACCTCGTGGTTTTGCTATCCAATCTCTGCGTCGTACTCGTAGTAGGTTGCTGCAACGGCCTGTGCTTTTGTTTATGATAGCGAAGCCTGGCCTAATTCAAATGTTAATTGGAGTCGAACAATTCTTCGAAATTTTGCAGAAAAATGTAATTAGGATAGGATACAACTTACCAACTTTACAGCTTGTTTGGATGGGTACTATCTGGTGCATACAAGCAGCAAACAAATTCAAATTGTATTGGATTCCTATCAAACGTACAAATGCATGAAGCCATCACCAAGTTCTGGCATTTGGAAGAAGTGTTAGAACCAATAATCCATGGGTCAGAGAAGATTGCAACATCTCGCCTTATAAACTTAGAAAAGCGGTTT